ATAATATTTAGTCTGTATCAGACTTGACAATAGTTTTTTCATGATCTGTAGATTCTATGAAAGGGGCGCTGTGGCTCAGTGGCTAAGAAGCTGAGCTTGTCGATCAGAAAGGTCGGCAGTTTGAGCCGTGTAACAGAGTGAGCTCCCGTATTTGTCCCAGCTTCTGCCAACCTAGCAGTTCGAAAGCATGTAAAAATGCAAGTAGAAAAATAGGGACCACCTTAATGGGAAGGTAACAGCGTTCTGTGTGCCTTCGGCATTTAGTCATGCCAGCCACATGACCATCTTCAGACAGTGCTGGCTCTTCGGCTTTAAAACGGAGATGAGCACCATCCCCTAGAGTCAGGAACGACTAGCATATATGTGCAAGCGGAACCTTTACCTTTACCTTACCTAGATTCTATGGAAATAATGTGTCTTATAATAGTTTCTAAATATTGAAATGAAGAACTTACAGTTTTATGTATTATTTTTTTCCCCCTAGGAACAAATTCTTCCCAAAGTAGTTCTCCAAGTTCAAGTGCACCCAATTCTCCAGCTGGCTCAGGACATATTAGACCCAGCACACTCCATGGTTTAGGACCCAAGCTTGGAGGATCAAGATACAGATCTGGAAGGCGCAAATCAGCTGGCAATATTCCCCTTTCACCATTGGCTAGGACTCCATCTCCAACACCTCAGCCAACCTCTCCTCAGCGATCTCCATCACCCTTACTGGGTCATTCAATAGGCAGTGCAAAAATAGCCCAGGCTTTCCCCAATAAAATGCATTCGCCTCCCACTATTGTAAGACATATTGTCAGACCTAAGAGTGCAGAGCCACCAAGATCCCCACTGCTCAAAAGGGTTCAGTCAGAAGAAAAACTTGCTCCTTCTTATGGCACTGATAAGAAACACTTATGCTCGCGCAAACACAGCTTGGAAGTAACTCAGGAAGAGGTTAATAGAGAAGCATCCCAGCGTGATATAACCCTTCAGAGTCTGGAGGAGAATGCATTGGAATCGCCTTCGGTCACACGAGTGAGGCCTGCTGAGCAAGGCTGTTTAAAACGCCCCCTTTGCAGGAAACTGGGCAGGCAAGAATCTGTTGATGAACTAGACAGAGAAAAATTAAAGTTCAAGATAGTTGTGAAAAAACAAGATCTGGCAGAAAAACAAGAATATTTGCAGAAAACAAGTTCATGTTCAAAACATGAACTTTTCAGTGAATCAGAAAACCTTATTATCTCATGCCTGGAAGACAAGGATAGCAAAAAAGTGTTTCACAAAGCATTGGAAAGATCAAATCACTCTGAAGTTAAAATTACAGCTTTGGAGACACAGTCAACAGGTGGCATACTGAAAGACACCCTTCAGAAGAATGCAAACTTGAAGTCCAAAGAATACAGTGCTTCAGACGCATGTATCTCATGTCATAGCCCTGCACTTAATGAACTTAGTCATTTGTCTTATGATTTCAAAAGACTTTCCCCTCCGTGCACATTGCTAGATGTTCTGCCCCCCTCACCCGAGAAGTTGGCAAATGGAAAAGAAGGGAATGTAGATAAAAGTGCATCAACAAAAGAATTTGTCAAATTTGAAAAATTAGATAGTAAACTTGCAAATATAGATTATTTTCGAAAGAAAATATCTTCCGAAGAAAGTGATGACAATTCCAGTCCAGTGCTAAAGCCCAAATTGGCAGCAAGCATACTTGAATGCCAACAGCTTAATTCAGCTAAGCCTATAAATATTACGCAGAATTCCAATTCGCCTGCTGAAAGTCCATCATTTCTCAGCAGTGCTCACGCTGCTCAGATTAGTTCTGTTCCTTTTGTTCCCCTCAAAACCTTGAACAGCAGAGCAGAACCTGGCATGGAGAAATCCACCTTGATCTCCACAGAATCATTGGCCTGGAAGAGTTCTTCAGATTACAAGCTAGAAGGAAGGTCTGTTTCTTGCTTGAAACCAATTGAAGGTACATTAGATATTGCTCTACTTTCAGGGCCACAGGCTTCAAAGGCAGAAGTGTCTTCATGTGCATTCCAAGATGACCAGAGTATTAAAAGCGATCAACTCCCCCAGTGTGACAATAGCCTAAAAGCTGAGCCCTTTACTCAGAAGGTGCTACCAACTATTCAGCAATCCAGACCCTGTAAAGCTGATCTTTTGGAGCTGCAGAGCTCAAAGCCTAATAAAAATACCCAGCATTCAACTTCAGCATCTGTGATGATTGAACAGCAGTCAAAAAAATCACACTCTAGTCTCAGTGTTAACAATGACTCATCTGTAAGGGAGACCTGTCAAAAAGAAGAGACACTCCAGGTTGGTACAAACAATATGAAATCTAATGGCTTCCAAAATCAGAATCCTGCTATGATAACTTGCAGAGCTACTCAAGGACAAGGAAACACTGAAAAGGGCAAACGAAAAGAGAAGAAGCATGTTAAAGAAGTTTTGGAGAGCCACATGAAAACCGAACAGACTGATGATGAGAGGACTGCAGATCCCTCAGTGAAGAGCCTCGTTCCAAATTTGGTTTCGAATCAAGACTCTAAGCACAGTCAAAGGTATACTTTGGATTCAACTGCTCATTTACAAGCATGTGGCACAGCAAAAGTACAGGCATCAAATTCCAAGGCGAAGCCCAAAGATGTCAAAGATATGCTTAAACAGGCTGCAAAGGAAGATGAAAACATCACTGGAGAATTTTCAGGAAATGAATTTGGCATGCCTAAGCCGAAAACGAATGCTTTGCTTTCCCCAAAGTGTTTCAATTCAGTTAAAATAGAAAAAACAATGGTTGCTGCAACTGTGCAAAAGGATAAGCTTCGAGACCTGGGATCAAAAGAGCAGAGGCAATCTAAAAACACACAGCCTCCGACTGCTGATAAGGAGCCTAATTTTGCTTTTAAGCCGCAAAGTAGCAATTCTGATGTTCCTGCTGTAAAAGAACCATTCAACAGATCCTCTGCAGCAGATGTTCCTGTGTGTTATAGCAATCAAGAAACTCTCCGGCCTGCTATGGAGAATAGCACTGTGAAATCAAAGCAGGTTCTTGATGCTTGTTCCTCTAAATTAAAACATTCTGAAAAATTTGCACATAAACCATTAGCTACACAGGTAAAAGAAAAAGAGAACGGTGCACTGGGAATGGCTGGTTCTCGAAAGGAGGGGAAAAACATATTTAAGATCACTTTGGATTCTTTCTCACATTCTTCAAGCTCTCAGAGAAAGCTAAATAATGCACAGATTCAGACAGAACAGAATGTGGTAGTAGCGTGTAGATCAGAACCACCGGTCCAACTCAATAGAACCGCTGCTGAAAATCAGCTTAAATCTTTTAGTAAAAGCCAGGGGACGGAGAATACCAAGCTTTTTCAGAAGGAAGAGATAGCAAGCTTAGGAGATCCAGTTGATCAAAAGCCATTCCATCTACGGAACAAGCCGAAGGTGTCCACTGCGAAAGAGTGTCCCTTGCTGAGCAAAGAAGGAGATAAGGATTCAAGTAACCCAACAGTCTCTCCAGAAAAACAACCTGAAGGAAGGAAATGTACTGATGCACTTTATTTTCAAAGTGACAGCAGGAAATTGGATTCCAGCTTTTCTGTGCCTGCTTGCGATGCCAGAGGAAAAGTTGTGGAAAAGTCAGCCACAGGTAACAAAAACTTTCAGGACTGTAAAGGAAAAGGACACATAAATCCAAAGCAACTGGCAGAAGGGAGTAAATCAAACCCAACAAAACATTCCTCCTTGACCACGTTGCAGAATTCGTGTCGCACAGTGGGAAACACTGCAAAGCAGCTGGACAGCCCATTCAGCTGCCCAGAACCTAGACAGAAAGCCCCTGTTTTGCCTTCCTCAAAGGCTAAAGTGCTCTCAGCAGCGCCGTCCCTCGAAGCGAGCTGCAAGGAAGTCAAAAAGCAAAGCAGCTTTTCTTCCTCCGCAGATGGCAGAACAGAAACTGTGTCACTATTGAACTTTCACTGTACTTCGCCCCCTAAAGAAGAGCAAATCCTTACTTCCGATTTAGGGGGTAAGCCCAGAGGTCAGGAGAGGTCTCACTCTGCTAGCACTGTGGACATAAAAGGAAGAGACCCCAGTCTGCCTCAATCCTCTGCTACAAGAAAACAGAATGTAGGTAAAGATTTGCCAAAGTCAGGGACTACAAATGACTCTCTCAATGCACTTTCGTTGGACAAAGATTCTTCCCGGCAGAAACGAGGGAAAGACCCCTCAAGACACAGCCCTCACAAGAAGAGCTCTTAGTAGTTGCTTGCAAATAGGACATCTCGAATGAAAGTCTAGTTGTCTGCCTCCCCCTCCCCTCAAAAATCAGCACTGTGTAGTATTTTCTTTCAGAAACAAAAGTGTGCCACTTCAGCGGGGTCTGTAAAGAAAGACTCGTGTTTTATTCCCCTTTCATAAATGTCTTCCCAAATGTTACCGGTTAAACTGTTAGCATATGGTATTTGTATAGAAGTTGAGAGACTTGAGGTAAAGTGGGCCTGGGGTTGCAGCTGGTCGTGGCAAGTTCATGTAAATACTTAATGTGTTTGTTTTGATTTACAGTATCCAACTGCTGCTGATTGTATTGTTTACTCTTTTTTAGAGTTGCTGCTTTGCCACCAATTTGCCATAATCAAAGAAGAAATAGAATTGCTAAAGCTTAGGCCTAAACCGAACCCACAGTTGCATTTCCTCTAATGGGAGGATGAAAGTAGATCTTTTTTTTTTCCTGTTCAGATTTGTACACCGACCATAAAAATTTAAGAATATTTAGATCTACTGATTTCTAATGAGTTTTGCTGCCTGGTTTACAGCACTACAGATTCATACTTTTGTGCATGAGCTAGACTTACTCATTTAAACCAGTGCTGCTTGAGCTTGGCAACTCCCAGGGAGTTGAAGTCCATGCATCATAAAGTTCCCAAGTTTAAGAAACATTGGCTTAAATGAACAAGCTGCAATTCTTTAATGCACAGTGATTGTATTTATTTAGTGTTGGTGTTAGGAAACAGAAAAAACTTCCATTGTCTTCTCACATAATACTTCCTTGCTGGAGGACAGTTTTGGAATAACAGGAAATGTTCCTTTTTCTTCATGGCATGCTAAGTATACTTCTTTATTCAGGTCGTATTAACTATGGTTTGGCCTTTCTAATATGATACTTATGTAGAAGCAAATGTGGTCTTAGAACTACATTTCATCTTTGCGATCATGACAAGTAAATTTGGTCATTTAGTGGTTCAGTTTTCTTTGCTGTTTTATGACAAAAGTGGTGAAGGGGTGCATTTTCCATCATTTTATCTAGATAATATATTCAGTACCTGATAACATATAAATACTTAGCTGGGGCCTTACATTGTAAATTAAACTTGCTGTTTATTTGCAAGTGATGCTAGGATTCACATTCTGGTTGAAGTATATTAAGTATCTGTAAACATTTCATAGCATGATATTTATTTGTATAGAAAAGAAGTTAATTTTTTAAAATAAGAAAAAAAAACCATTTTTAGATTAAAAGGAGAGAACATGTTGGAGCTTTTTGGGACTAGAATGTGAGCTTAGTTTTCCTAAGCCTTGCTTTAATTTCATGATTCATGAAATAAGTTTAAATGGATGACTTTTGAAGGAAACTTGATTTGGTTGGAAACAGATAAAAAACATCAAAGGTTATGATAGACAAGAATGTTAAAATGAGAAGAAAATTCATTAATTTTTCTTCCTTTTTATACAAACTTATAGAACCCATTTAAACTTGAGTGTCCTCCAGGGCATTTTTCCTGTTTCCTAACTACAACCAACCAAGCATAACCTAATTATGAACTGACTGTTTATAAGATCGTTACAAGTGTTCTAAATGCCTTTCCCTGGGGAAGAAATAAACCAGGTGGGATTTGTTCATATTTCTAAGCCTCAGAAAATGATAGCAGCAGCCAGTTTCTAAATGTCCATTTGAGTGGTTGTATGTTCATTTGCCACTCATGAATTATTTAAAACAAGCAGAGAAGGAAAAATGCTCTTCAGGTATTCCTGTCATTTATAGTCTGAATTTGTGCTTTGGGAATAAAACTGAATGCAAATGCACCCCCAAATCAGAATGTCGTTCTCTGGGAAGTATTACTTGTATTACTTGTATTACAATTACTTGTACTGGGGGGGGGGGGAGTAAACCCTTTCACTTTTTTTCTTTAAAGCACATGTAGCTATCTTGTTTACAAATGTATCTTTTAATGTATATTTTGTATATAGTGCTTTATCACTTTTGCCAAATATTTCCCCTCATTTTGAAAATACGGTAGCACCTGAGTTCGCATTCATGTAATTCCTTGTACGTTAATGTTTACCTTAAAGTGAACTGTTAGAGGTCCTCTGAATTGTGTATTACTTGTCAGTCTTTGTGTGGCTGTATATTATAATGTCCGTTTGTAGTATCCCCTACTGTTAATTATCAAATTATATTAAAAAATGGTTAGTATTTCTGCAATAAAGTATTTGCAGTCTCTTTTTTTTTCTTTAAGAGATCCCCATGATTGTCATAAAAATTGCCTATTAAATGCAAATATTTATACTTGGAAGTTGGAGAACATTGAAATAAAAAAGGGCATGAAATAAATCTCAGTTTGTTTCTTGAACTGGCTTTCTTGAATTCTGAAATACTACATTTTAAATATTCAGGATTTAATAAACAAGAATGTGTGTGAAATATTTTTTGTTACACTGATAAGTACAATGTGCATTGAGTTCCATGTGAATTATGTGAATGAGGCTGTAATAAAGGAAAAGAGATTTGGTAAACGTTCTGTTGCTTGGAAACATAATATGATTTATTTAGTGAAATACGAAAGAGTGACAGAAGAAAGATTATTGATAATAGATTTAGTGGGTTGTAAATTGAGAATAAAATGAAAAGAGTAAAACTTTATGAAGATATAGGAAAGCAGAACAAACGACAACATTTCCAGCGAACTTGAAATCACATATATGAGAATTTCAACAAACAAATTAGAGTGTTTTTCAGTACACAAAGACTTTAATTACTTCATTTATGACCATATATGCTACATGCTCACTTTGTCCAATGGCCTGTGTAAAGATGTAGAAGTGTCAGCACATCCATTCTGACTCATGACATTTTCTGGAACCAAGAAATGATGTAGGTATGTGAAGAAAATTGAGGATATTTTTTTATTCCATCATTGTGACCATGGAATGAATAAATAATGCAGCACAACATAGTTGGAAATAATACCAGGCACTATCCAAATGGAAGCTAACTGGTTTTCAAATAGTTTAGTTCCCTAGTTTACAGATTTGTAGAACATTGTAGACTTAAGGTCATAAAGTAGATTTCCAGGAAAAAAAGTTTTACACATCTCACAAGAAAAGAAAGGCATATTCCAGTGGCATCTAATTATTTAGAAAAAATGTTAGCATCCAGTTATCTAGGAATACCTTTTTCACATTTTCCACTAAAGGTACTGTTTAGTGGAATAAACTGTACCTTTAATGGTCAATTAATAACAAATGTTTCTGTCAGTAACACAATATCTGGATATTTTTTCTTTAAAACCAAGTAGTTTTATTTTGAATTAGAACATTTTGATGAAAATACCACATAGCTGAATGAATTTATAAACTTCAACATTTTATTAATTTTAGTAAATTTTATTACCTTAAATTTTTTAATCAGTTGTAGGCATCACTATTCTTTCTTGTACAGAATATTTGTGTTAATATGTTTCAGAAAGATAGCAATTCTATATAAATGAATACATATTCATATTTTTTGTTACATACCAGAATAAAGGTTTTTGTTATTTTCCAGTAAGGCATTTTCCATGAAATTTACTTTAGCTTTTGAAGATGTAATTGTTGTACAGTGTATGAAAGTCTGTGTTAATTCAAATTTGAATTGCAGAAATAATCATGGATACATAAAAATAACCCAAATTTTCCCCACTGCTTGATAATTTCCCAGCCAAAAATTAATCAGTTCTAACTTTGATTACAAGCCTATTTATTAAATATAGCTTAATTTATAAGCTTAAGTTTTCATGCATATGTGTATCACACAAATNATATCTTCTCTTTTTTCAGTACATTCTGATAGAGCATTATTGGACTAAAATGGACTATTGGTCCATTTTTTGTGACACAACTTTCATTGGATAATATTGTAATAAAATAGTTCGGAAGGAGGAATTGCTAGCCTTGGAAGCCAGCTGGGTGACTTTGGGGCCAATCACCAGGAGACGGGGGAGTTCTAGTCCCGCCTTAGGCATGGAAGTTGGCTGCGTGACTTTGGGCCAATTACCAGGAGACAGTGAGTTCTAGTTCCTCCTTAGGCGTGAAAGAAGTTGAGTACCTTTGGGCCAATCACCAGGAGACGGTGAGTTCTAATCCCGCCTTAAGCATGAAAGCCAGCTGGTTGACTTTTGGGCCAATCACCAGGAGACGGTGAGTTCTAGTCCCGCCTTAGGCATGGAAGTTGGCTAAGATGACTTTGGGCCAATCACCAGGAGATGGTGAGTTCTAATCCCGCCAAGCATGAAAGCCAGCTGGGTGACTTTTGGGCCAATCACCAGGAGACGGTGAGTTCTAGTCCCACCTTAGGCATGGAAGTCGGCTGTGTGACTTTGGTGCCAATCTCCAGGAGATGGTGAGTTCTAGTTCCTCCTTAGGCATGGAAGTCAGCTGGGCGACTGGGCAATCACCAGGAGCCGGTGAATTCTAGTCCTGCCTTAGAACATGAAAGTCGACTGGGTGACATTGGGCCAATCATTCTCTCTCTCAGTCCAACCCACTTCACAGGATTGTTGTGGGGAGAAAAAATAAGAGGAGGAAGGAATCTGTATATTTGCCACCTCGAGTTACTTCCAAAATAGCAAAAGTGGGATAACAATGGGAGAAATGAACAAATAAACTATGGAGGCCAAATGGCCAGAACAATATTCAGTGTTTCCCAACCTGGATAAATTTAAGAGGCACGGACTTCAACTCCCAGGATTCCCTAGCTGATCATGCTGGCTGGGAGATTCTGGGAGTTGAAGTCCACACAGTCTTAAAGTTCCTGAGATTGGGAAACCCCACAATGGAGCGTTTGGGGAAAAAAACCCAGAGGGGCAGCATTTTAGGAATGCCGTTTATTTTTACTTTTACGACATTTTCACACACAGGTCGCACTTTTCCGAGGTTCTTTTGCCTCCAAATCTCTTCCCCCCCACCCCCAGCTTTATCAACATTTCTTCGACACTCCTAGTATTTTATGACTTTTATGCCGAGAGGATCTATTGAGAAGTTCCCGAGAAGATAATCCAGGAAGGGAGATGCTGGCTTGTAGGAACGTCAGAAAAAACAATGGCTACCAATGGTTCACCGACAAAAGCGCGCCCGACTAAACCACGGTGATGAAACCGCGAGTTCTAAACCGCGCCGTCGAATGAGCGCTAATCGCGCCGACAACAGCACGCCGACAGAAGCGTGCTTTAAACTTAACGCTAAACCTAACGCTAAACCTAAATGCTAACCCTAACCCTAACCCTAACCCTAAACCTAACCCTAACCCTAACCCTAANCACTCTCTGAATCTGCTGCCAGCTCCACTTGTGGGCCACAACAAAATGTTCTTCTGTTCTGTGGTTTAATCCGTCAATGGTTTGTTAGTTACTTGGGGGGAGGGGGAATAAATTTATACTGCTTCTCCCCCCCGAAATGTCACAAAATAAACAAGTCAATCAAAAGAGTTGTCTGGCCTCAAAAAGTCAAGAGCTCTTGGGAGAGGAGACCAAAAGGAGATCACGAGTCAAGAGTCGAAGAACCTCCATCGGAGGAAGGAATGGCCCAACGCTTCTCCCCTGTTGCCAAGGAGATAAACATCCGCGGATCTATATTAAACGTGAAGCGGTTTTTATTTTCACCATAATCAGGAGCAACGTTTCACTGACACAGGTTAACCTTGGATGAGCTGATGAAACTCGGTGCAAATTAGGAGCGGGATGAGGGACCACAAGGGAATCCCAAGACCGGAGGCTAAAATAAGAAGTTGAAAAACATGTCCGGAAGCAGCAAGAAATGGAAAAGGGTTGCAATATTTATGCCAAGGAAACTTGGAGAGACAGTTTGGTATAATGGTTAAAATGCTCGGAAGGAGGAATTGCTAGCCTTGGAAGCCAGCTGGGTGACTTTGGGGCCAATCACCAGGAGACGGGGAGTTCTAGTCCCGCCTTAGGCATGCAAGTCGGCTGGGTCTATCACCCATCTCCTCCCACTTATGACTGCCTGTCTTTGCTGGTGGTATCCTTAGGTTTTATATTGATATTGATTGTTTCCTGATTGCTTATTTGTACCCAGTGATTATCATTAAGTGTTGGACCTTATGATTCTTCACGAATGTATCTTTTCTTTTACGTACACGGAGAGCATCTGCACCAAAGACAAATTCCTTGTGTGTCCAATCAGACTTGGCTAATAAAGAATTCTCTTCTCTTCCCTTCCCTTCCCTTCCCTTCCCTTCCATTTTCTCTTTTCTTTTCTTCTCTTCTCTTTCATTCCATTTTCTCTTCTCTTCTCTTCTCTCCTCTCTTCCCTTCCCTTCCCTTCCATATTCTATTCTATTCTATTCTATTCTATTCTATTCTATTCTATTCTCTCTTCTCTTCTCTCCTCTCCCCTTCTATTCCATTCCATTCCATTTTCTATTCTCCTCTCTTCCCTTCCATTCCATTCCATTTTCTATTCTTTCTTCTTCTCTTCTATTCCATCCCATTCCATTCCATTTTCTTTTCTTCTCTCCTATTTCATTCCATTCCATTTCTCTTCTCTTCTCTTCTCTTCACTTCTCTCCTCTCTTCCCTTCCCTTCCCTTCCATATTCTATTCTATTCTATTCTATTCTATTCTATTCTATTCTATTTTCTCTTCTCTTCTCTCCTCTCCCCTTCTATTCCATTCCATTCCATTTTCTATTCTCCTCTCTTCCCTTCCATTCCATTCCATTTTCTCTTTTTTCTTCTTCTCTTCTATTCCATCCCATTCCATTCCATTTTCTTTTCTTCTCTCCTATTTCATTCCATTCCATTTCTCTTCTCTTCTCTTCTCTTCACTTCTCTCCTCTCTTCCCTTCCCTTCCATCTTCTCTTCTCTTCGATTCCATTATTCTATTCTATTCTATTCCATTCCATTTTCTTTTCTCTCCTCTCCTCTCCTC